ACGCTTCTCTCTCTAATCATCTCCTCTTTTTTCTTTGTCCTATTTAGATTCAATCATTTTTATTACACTTTGACCAGCTGGAGCTCCGTGTCTTTTTCTTCTTCTACTTCTTCTGGATTCTGGATCTCCTTTTGCATTTCCTTTTCATTTGTCAATGTGATTGCAAAAGTTTTCCGTTTAGGATCACATTCTATTTGAGAAGGAAGTTTTTCTGAATCCCTTGCTTCAAGCCTACTCACGGCTCAGGCTATTTGACTCATTTGAGTTTCCAAGTTTAAAATGCTAGACTTGGTCTCATTTTGGAATTGCACCATGCTGTTTTGCATGGTGGTCATGTTGGTAGCAATAGCCCGGACCATATCCTCCGTAGACATGTTAGAGTTGGAGAATGGATCATACCTCATGTGAGGTACATCGCTTTCGTAACCAACATCATCAATTTGTTCAAGGTATTCATCTTGGAGCCTTGGGCAGAAATCCGTAAGATGCCTGTGAGACATGCAAATGTTGCACGTCTTGACATCTTGAGCTTTTGAGCTTAAGGTAAATTCCTTTATTAGAGAAGTCAAGAAGGAAATTTGACTCTCTAAGGATGAAGTGTTGGTATCCATATACTCATAACTCATGTAAGCTCAGAAAATAGAAGAGCAAGATTTTTTTTATATATATTTTTTTGTTTTTGATTTTTATGAGATAAAATAAAAAGAAAAATAATTGCTTTTCCCCGGCAACGGCGCCAAATTTGACGAGCACTTTTGTCACGGTGCGTCAAAATAATTTTCAATACTAACACTTATACGTAGTATAGCGTAGTAGAGTTCGTATCCACATGGAAAGAAATAATTCTCTTTTTATGAAACTTAGTAAATAAAGGGGGGTTTTGGTGATGAATGATTTAATTAAATTAAAAACTAAGATGAACGACTTATATGAGATTTAATTCAAAGATAAAAAGGACTTGACATTGCTACTTTCCACTTGTTGATATATTTTAGTCGATCATTATATCTATAACTTATTCCCTCTCGAATACTCAATCGAGGAGTATATCCAATTCATCGAGGGTAGTTATTAACAACGACCGCTCATTAATAACCCTTACTATTAGTCAAGTATAGAACACCACCATATACCGACTTGATAGTAGCTTTTAATCTTTTAACTCCTTGATGAAATCAATTGAGATTGATAACCTCAACACAACGGTTTCGGTTTAACCAACAAAGTTAATCCCTCTTAAGTTTATCAACCACGACCGTGCATTAATAAACCGAAGTTACTTACTTGTTAAACCATCAACGAATAACCATCGGTTCGTCGATCGTTTCTAGTAATAATTAATATATGAAACAAAACTAGTTGATCCTTTAAGTGATGTTCAAAATATTAATATGAAATATGAATAGGAATGAATTAATATTCAAGGAAGAATATTATTAAAGGAGGTGAATCCTACTATAATTAATATCAAGATGTTAACTAATTGTCATCTTAGCAACACTCCCCAACATTATTATAGAGGAAGAAAATACTATTCTAACTAATGTCGAGATGTTAACTAATTGTCATCTTAGCAACACTCCCCAACATTAATATAGAGATAGTATTTAAGAAAGAACTAATAATTAATATTCAAAGAAAGAAGTTAAGAAAATAACTCACAACTTTAATAATCAACAAGCTTCAAGAGCAACACCAAGAATCGGAAGTTTAGCTCCTCATTTGGAGACTAAACATAGCTAGAAAAATATAAAGAAATGCTATTCTAAACTGAGCTTAGGAGTATAGAAGAAGGGATGGTTTTTAGAGAAGAAAAAGTGTGCTATTTATAGGTGTTTTTCAACACCTTTGGCCGGGTACCCGACCAGGTCAAGTACTTACCCGACCGGGTCCGGTCAAAATCAGATAATCCGCCACGTTCTGGTGATCTTCGCACGTCGTTTTGTCCCGGGTCACATCTGACCCGACCGGGTCAAGTAGGGGACCCGACCGGGTCCAGTGATTTTCTTGGCAATTTCGTCTGTTAAATCATACCCGACCGGGTGGGGGTTTCTACCCGGTCGGGATTTACTCCTGGACAGTCAAATTTCTTATTTTCTTCTCTTCAAAGTCTTCCTTTCCAACACCACAAATCCTAACTATACTTTACACCTTATAAATAAAGACTAAAATACAATTACAACTGAAATCCAGTGCTTATACCGTGGTACCGGTGCATGGTAAGCACCATGCACCCTTTGTTATTTTTTATTTCTTATTTTCTTAAAATTGTTAATAATTTTTTTATTTTTTATCCGATTTTTATAAAATTTATACCAAATTTTTTTATTTTTCAAGATCTTTCAAATGAGACCAATATTGCCTATATAATTTTAATTTTTTACATTCATACATTTTTTTGTAATATATTTTTATATGCATACACTTTTTCTATAATATATTTTTTTTATCACTTTTATATTTTTTAGAGGTTTTTAAGATATTGAGTTTGTTTATTTTGCTTCTAGCTTGGAGTTACATTTGATAATATACGAAGTTACATCATCTTATACTCCAGTTACATGTTATTATGTGTGAGTTACATCTTGTTATGTGTGAGTTACATCTTGCTATACACGAGTTACATACTTTTATGCGAGAGTTACATGTAATTATGTGTGAGTTATATCTTGTTATGTGTGAGTTACATCTTGTTATACATGAGTTACATACTTTTATGCGCGAGTTACATGTAATTATGTGTGAGTTATATCTAATTATTGGTGATTTTTACTTATCTCTATCTTGAACTAATTCAATTATAACTGAATTAATTTTTTTCTTTGCCAATTTAATACAAAATTTTATTAATCCACATAAAATAAGTATATTGTATTTCATATTCATACACTATTTTTCAAATGATAAAAATGAAAGATGCAGCAGGGGTTTATTTCATGGTGTAACTCACATACATTAAGATGTAACTCGTATATATTAAGATGTAACTCGCGTACAATAAGATGTAACTCGCGCAGAAGAAGATGTAACTTCATGATATATTATCAAATGTAACTTCAAAATAATTTGTTAAAATTACATAAGCAATATTGGTCTCATTTGATAGATCATGAAAAATAAATAAAAATTGATATAAAATTTATAAAAATCGGATATCAAATAAAAAAGTTATTACAATTTTTAACAATAAGAGAAAAAAAATAGTGAATGTTGCGTCGTTTTGGGATCAGGCGCACCATCCTCATGATGCGCCGATCCCAGGGTATAAATCACATAAATGTTTACAAACTAAATAAAACGTCAAACAATCAACATAAATCAAACATAAAAACATATAATTATGCACTACTAATTAGTGTGCATCAATATCACAGAACTCAAATAGTCATGATCACATAGATTTCTCATCATAAAAACATCACCTAAATCATCTTCACAAGTAGTCAAATTAGCATACTCACTATGCTTATTTCCCCTAGATTTAGGACACTCTCTTATGAAATGACCAGATTCATGATAATAATAGCAACGTCTCGAATTAGACCTAGACTTAGATCTATGTCGCCTATTATTTTCTCTACCCCTTACATGCATAACCTCCTCGGATTTTCTACCCTCACCCATCTGTTTTAAATCTAATTCCTTACTCTTAAGACCATTAACCACAATGTCAAGAGTCACATTATCTCTACCATACTTAATAGCAGATTTCACATCACTAAAGGAATCAGGAATAGCATTTAAAAGAGCAATAGGGGAATAATCATCTATATGCTTATCACCACACAACTTAATATCAGAAATAAGTTTGGTAAAGACATCTAGATTTTCCTCAATATCCTTAGACATATCTAGTCTAAATTTGAAGAACTTCTCAAGTAAAAACATCCGGCTAGGCAAAGAGGTTTCAGTATACAGTTCATCTAATTTATTCCACAAAATTTTAGCACTCTCTAAAATTCCAACTTTTCTAATCACAGAATCAGATAAGTTCAAATAAATCACAGAACATGTATTTTCATTCATTTCAGCCCTTTTACCTTATGTGTCAGAAACTAAATAGGTTTCACCAACTGCTTTAAAACATTTTTGTTGGATTAAAATACATTTAATTTTTTGCTTCCAAATGCAAAAATCAGATTTTCCATTAAATGGAGCCATACCATACTGATTATAAGCAGACATTTTCACAAAGAAAAACAAGCAACAAAAGAAAATGTAAATTTTGCTGAAAAATAATTTAAATATTTATAAGTCTACAAATATACGGAGTAACTAGCACGAACACGCGGGAAGTATTAATGAGCATCAAACTCAATTTCAAACCCCTTGGTCTGATGCAAAAACCGGCTGATAAATCGGCAAAATAAAATCGGCTGATGCACAAGGGGAGGATCGAATTTGTGACATGAAGCATCCAACAAAATTTAAACCCATAAGTTTACCACCAAGGCTAATGATCATTTTTAGGTGTAGCTGGTGCTAACCCTCATTATAACATTGGTCCGCCCCTGCCTGTTTGAATTGAATTAAAATTTGATATTGTATAATTAAATTCTTGGAGCTAACACAAAAAACCTACAAAGTTATTATTGATATTCGACTTTTAGAGCGCGTTTGGTAATAGCCAAATCTTCTATATTGCCTGATTCTGCTGAAATTTATAAAGTTCTGGCTGATGTGGCTGTATTGACTGATTCTGCTGATTTATTAAAAAAATACATTTTTTCAATAAAATAAAGAAAATTATATGAAAAAATAGCTAAAATGACCATCTACAGTAAATTCAACCGATAAAGCCAGAAAAGTAACTCCGACTTTACTTTTTCTTATTATTACACAATTCAGCCCATAAAACCAAAAGTTACGTATTTGGTGAAAAAGTTGGCTTAAATGCCTGAAAAGCCAAAAATCATAGCTACCCAACGGGCACTTAATTAATTTCCTCCCGAAAACCAAACTTTGTAAATTGATGTATTTGATGAACATTGAACACACAGTTTTAGGAGGAAGGGTGACGTAAAAATGGGGGGAAAGGAGCATGAAGGAGGAGCTAAAGAAAGGGTGAAAGAAGCAGCTGAGAAGAGCTTTGGGAAGAGCAAAGAGGCGGTAGAGGAGTCGGCCAAAACGGCGGCGCACGTGGTGGGAGAGGCGGTGCACGAAACAAAAGAGAAGGTCATCAAGGGAAACATGCATGTTGGAGGAAAATATGCTGATGGTGATTCCCATGAAGAGCTCTAGCTGCCTCATTTAATAACATCATGGAAATATTAAGATAGAAACTAAGCAAAATTATTGATCAGCTGGCATATTATAATCTACTCTATTCTATGATGAAGAACATGTGTATATATGTTATGTGCTGATGTGACCTTTAATTTTGATTCCAAAGTTTGAGTTTTGCTAAATTGGCAGTTCAGACTCAAGAAATAGGGCCAATTAGAAGCCGTAAATGCATAATTGAAGTACAAAAATGGTTCCAAAGATATAATCTTTACTTAAGATATATCACTCTTAATACATGCATATACGAACTATAATGTATTAAATTGTGAAGAAATTTCACTTATGATCCTTCGAGTTTTGCACCAATTCCACAATTAGTCCTCGTCTTTCATTCTATCCATTTTTTGTATCTGACTATTGTAAAAATGCACAGAAATGGACAACAAACGGTCAAGAAAACAATAGTCAGGTACCAAAAATGGATAAAGTGAAAGACGAGGACTAAATATGGAAATGACATAAAATTCGAAGGATCTAATTAATTCTTAAATTGTCACCAATACTTCCACATATTCCTCCCCTTCCTTGAAATACCAACATATGGATTCTCACGTATGAGTTCGGATATATGTTTGTTATGCCCTCGGCCCATAACGAGCTAAAACATTATTAATTCAGCTAATAAGTATAAAACATAATCTATGTCTCTAAAAGCTTCTAGTTGTATGTTTGACATGAAAACTTTTAAGAGTTTTTCAAAAAATAAAAGATTTTTTTGAGATGCCACAGAGAGTAGCATCTGAAAAAATCTGTGACTTTTAGCATTAATTAGTCCAAAAAGCTTATATACCAAACATAATTAAATCAAACAATCAGCTTTTTACCAAACAACTACCACCTTTCCTTTTAAGATCTTATAAGTCACTAAAAGCTAACCGTTACTAAAAAGTTCACAAAAGTATGTTTTCAGCTAGTTGTGCCAAACATACCCTACAAGCTTTCTCTCGAATGCTACCACCGGTAGCTTCTCAAAAAAGATCTTTTATTTTGAGTTAAACTTTTAAAATTGTCATGTGAAACATACGATTAGAAACTTTTAAATAATACAAAATTTAGAGATTATCCCCAACGGTCAATACACGTGTCAATCAGCCAATGACCGCCCCTCGATCCAATCATACGGTCGACTTTTCCACTAAATCATAGTAATACCAACCCGGGACGAGAGATGGGATCACTAACCACGAAACCGGTAACAATAAGCTATAGTGACGAATTAGCATTTATATCCCTCAATTCACCCCACCCTAGCTAGACCCCGAATGCTAACATACTAAAATCCATCAAAGCTAAAACACCAAAATCATAACAGAAACTAAATTTTGAATTAGAGTAAGATGTAAATAAAAAAAACTAACTAAAAATAATGCGGAAAGAAAAGCCGAATATTCACTAGGCGAGCCTATAGAAGAGAACCCGTCCCAATTTAGTTTTTTGGCCCACCCTATTCAAGGTCCATCATTCATTGTGGAGAAAAGGGACAAATAAGCTCACTTACTAACCAAAAAAGATCAAATAAGCCATTATATAGTAGGATATGTACGGGTGTCATCATTTGGGGCGGTTCACGGTGGAAACTTTTGATGCAATTTTTTGAGCATATTATTCATTAAGTCTAGTTTACTCATATCAAATTTCAGCTAAAACTTCAATCGGGAAGGCATTCAAATGAATTCTTTAAGAAAACTGTGCAGTTAAAAGCGCAGTTATCTTCAAGAATTTAATTGAATGTCTTCCCAACTGAATTGTTAGCTAAAATTTGGTATGAGTAAACTAGACTTAATGAATAAGATTCTTAAAAAATTTAATAAAAAACTTTCACGGGGAACTACCCTAAATGGTCACGGCCTGACAGAGCCTCCTATATAAGGCTTATTTGACTTTTTTTATTAGTACTTTGCCTTATTCGTCCCTTTTCCCTTCGCCGATCTTCTCTTCCACTACCCGGCGGCGGTTCTGATCTGTGTGACCGCTTTCTTTTGTTTTCCAAAAACTCCATACTCAGGTAGCTAGCATATTCAATTCTTTCATTAGTTAATCACCCTGACAAAATATCACCCCTTTCTCCTATCTGCCAGCCATTCTCACGTATGAGTTCGGATATATGTTTGTTATGCCCTCGGCCCATAACGAGCTAAAACGTTATTAATTCAGCTAATAAGTATAAAACATAATCTATGTCTCTAAAAGCTTCTTAGTTGTATGTTTGGCATGACAACTTTTAAGAGCTTTTTAAAAAAAAGGATTTTTTTTGAGATGCCACAGAGAGTAGCATCTGAAAAAATCTGTGACTTTTAGCATTAATTAGTCCAAAAAGCTTATATACCAAACAGAACTAAATCAAACAATCAGCTTTTTACCAAACAACTACCACCTTTCCTTTTAAGATCTTATAAGTCACTAAAATCAAACAGTTACTAAAAAGTCCACTGATGGAGTATATGGCCCGGGAACCCCCGGCCCACAGACTCCTACTACTCCAATAAAGGCCCAACAGGCCCAGAAAGCACAACAGGCCCAAATCACGACGCCCAAGATACCAAGCAGCCCACAAATGCGCACCAGGGGTGCCTTCGCCCCCCTGGCCGAAGGCTCTAACTCTCACAGGAGGGCCAAGACAGCAAAACAAAGTTACCGGGAAAAACGGCGAAAATCAGTAGCCCTCGGCAACTAGAGCCCTCGGCACCAAGGGGATCCCCGGTACTCAGAGCCCTCGGCTAGTCCTCTACAGCCGAGGGCACCTTCCCCGACATGATATCCGCACCACATGCGTACAGATCACTGTACCCTGTACAACGTCCCATCCAACAGCCGCATTAAATGCGGCCACATGCGGTTGCCAGCGCCAACCAGTTGAGGTGACCTCTCGGCCAATGGACGCTTGACACGTGTCCCTGTCCGGCATTTATTGCTACTATAAATAACACCCCATTTCCCCATTTGTAACCAAGTCATAACACGCTGAAATCGTTGAACACTTTACAATATACTTTCTCTCTCTATATTTACTTGCTCTGACTTCTCTCTTACTATTCTCCGTAATAACCCCTCGGATAAGCTACCCCCGGGTACACTATCCATCATCCACAATCGGCGCTCTCCGCCTTCATCCAGACGCTCACTCAGAACCCGGGTGCCTTCGGCACTTTGGTTCCCCCCAACCTCAGGTGGGGGAGAATATTATGCCTCCCCCTCATCCACGCACTACTAGAAAAATGTCTTACAGTAACACCAAATTAGTGTCACTAATAGGCTTCTGTGACACTAAAAAAGTGTCACTGAAGGTGGGGGCTAGTGACACTAAAAAAGTGTCACTAAAAGTGTCACTAAATTATAACACTATAGTATCACCAAATAGTGATACATATGCGACACAACCATTCAGCGACACTTTTACATCACATATGTTAATGACACTGTGGTATCACATAATTCTATTTTCCATCCAAGCAAAATGATAATTTAGTGACGCTTTGGTATCACTTTGTTTTGTATTGTTTCAGCATTCAAAAACAATTATAATTTTGAAATTCCAAATCAATTATATATTAGAAATTTCAATTCAATATTCAGCGAACCCATAAACAATAACAAAATCAATAAATCTCAAACTATAAATTCAACGCTTAAAGTAGAATATTCAATTCAAATTCAAGTCTATATTGTTGTTAAATTTTGCATTCTAAGCAACTACACAATTTAGTCCCAAAAAGTGAGTCGCCTACACGGATTACACCACTTCATAAGTACACATCGCCTTCACATCATCAAATCTTCATAGCAGCCTTCACATCATCAAATCTTCATAGTAGCATCATTCATCAACACTGAAAAACGACCGATACACTCGATTAATGATATAATTATAAAAACTACTCATACACTCAATTAATCATACATAAAAACTACTCAACACTGTGTTGGAAATTTTGAGAGTATTTCAAATGAAAAATACTTATTTATTTATTTATTTTGGATAAGCTGTAAGTATTCACTATTAAAAGTTTTACACTTTCATAATTTTTTTCCTATTCCTTTAATTAAATCATTTTAATTAAATCGATGTTGCAAATTAAGACATGTACGTTACTTTTCAATCATGGTGCACTTGGGTGTATTAAAACTAAGAAAACAAACTTGCTATCATAACCGATGATAGTTACGTGTGGCTTTTATTATTATAATTAATTGAGCAATCCTCCTGGTAGCAACGGTGTGTTCATGATCGTTGTTAATTAACACTGCCACCAACGTTCGGATTTATGTGTATATATATACGAGTTTGAGCAACCAGGGGTGATATACAATTTTTACATGCGAACCGACTACAACTCTCAATATCATTTTCAAACTCTTGCTGGATTAATTTTATTTTACTCTCGTTGTTCTGTTACCGGCTTACGCCGAAGAGCTCGTTATATCTTGGGGAAAGGTTTTCGCTAATCGGAAATACTTTCTTGAGGACAGCGTCTGATGCGTCTCGAGCTATATTATTATTTCTAACACTTTTTTGCAGGTTTATCCGACCAATTCAAACAACACACTGAAAGCCCGAATGCAATCAGCTTCCTCAAAATGTAGTATTCTAAAGACAGTTATTCACAAGACAAATATGTTCTATTGTGTGGACCTGGGAATATCCAGATATTTGTTTCTAGTGAAACAGCTCTAGCTGGGTAATAAATCAGTTCCATATGCTACACCAAGGAGCAAGTAAAATAAATCACAGTCACTTTAATATGCTACATTAGAAATGGCCTCACATATTATTTTCAACTATATTCAATTGATTCATCTGTTTTTTCAAGTCCATACCTGAAGCACTTTCTGGATCAAACTCTTTCAGCTTTTCCAGTCCTTTTTTCAAATCCTGATAATGTTTTTTAATCAAAAAGCGTTGAAACATAATGTTTAGAAACCTTATACATGAGAGAAATGCATTACCTAGACATGTCATTGTAAAGAGCTCTCTTACGTAGTAGTACGAATCACATGGAGCATTGATCATTATAAACCGTTAGGTATACCATCAAGAAATCTTTGATAAACCCCCTATTCCATTAAACACATTTTTTTTGAATAAATTAAAATAATTTAAAACTAACTTAATCTTTGTCACAGTTAAAAATAAGAAATCAACATATGAAATATAAGAGCTTGT